GGGGCCCGCGCGCGGCAGGGGAAGCCCTCCCCTGCGCCAGCCGGGCGGGCGTCCGTTAAAAAGTCTTCAAATCGCAACACATTTAAAAAAAAAATAAGTGTAGTAGTTGTTTTTTCACCTTCCAGTCCCCAGCCCCTTGTTTTTTTAACGGAAGCTGAAACGTATGGGCCATGCGGTTCCCGGCAGGGTTCGTGGTTTTACCGGACGACACCGAATCCCGGCGGCGGCGGCACCGTGCCCGCCCTCCGGGCAGGGGCAGCACGGCTCCTCCAGGGCCTCGAAGGGACAGACCTGGGTCCCCCCGAGTCTTCGGCGGCCGTTTGCCGTGCGAGCGCTCTCCCAGCCCGGCCCCCGCGGGATGCCGTGCTGCCGGCTGAAGCAAAACGCAGACGGTAATCAGCGTTTTGTCCTGCTGGATTATCTCTACTTTTTCCTTCCTCGGTTTCTCAAGACGTGACATCCTCCTTGTCGATGCGGAGGACGTGGGAGGGATCGTCTTTAATCTCTCATCTCCTTTTGCTGCTAGCTTCGCTTGACCACCGCGGCTCACTTTTTCCATTACAGCTCTTCTGAATCCTGGTCCTTCCCTGCTGGTTTCTAAAGCTTCACCATGCCGCGCTCATCCCCGGTCTCCATTACTGCACGTTTCATGTACTTTAGCTTCCCCAGCGCTACTACCCCCCAGCCCATCAAACGGCAAATTAAAATTATCTCCCTGGCCCACCCATCCAGGCATTCCCCTTGCCTCTTCGCATCTCTCCCCGGTGCCTCCCATATTTAACATAATCTCTCTTTTTTTTTCCCCATTGCCGGGCCTCCCACCGCCATCTCCCCCACGGGGGGGTCCCACAGGGACTGCGGCAGCCGGTGCAGCTACAAGCCCTTCACCCCAGAAGGTTCCGCTTCTTGCAACGTGCAAGCTCGTGCCTCTGCCCGGCGTCTCGTGCTGTACTTAGGTTGCGAGCAGCTTTCTGTTCGTGCTTGCGTGGTACCTGCCGCAGTGGAGCCGTAGCCTGTGTGGTAGGGCCCCATGCCTTACGATAGTAAGAAAAATGCTGATAATTCAAACTGCAAATCCAGCTCTAACGGTAGTTACGTTCGCAAAAGGAAATCAGTTGTGTGACAGGGAATGAAACAAATTTGGGGAAAATGCTGTCAGTGACTAAAAAGCACAGTGGGGGGTAGCACAGTGGGGGCACAGGGTACGTGCCTCTTCTATAAATCACTAGCTGTTCCTTGTATGACCAGAACCACTCATACAGTCCCATTTCGAGGGAAGCCTTTGGGAGTTGTAAAGTTAGGAAAATACAGTACCGTTCTGTTTTGCATTTTCTCCAGTTCCGCTGTAGTTGAGAAACGATTGTATTTGTCTCTTTGCTGCTTGTTGAAACACATGCAGTTTCTGCTTAAAGCGCTTACACACACGGCCTTGCTCATTTACAGTGCAGATTTTTAATTGAGTAATAGCATCTGAAGGCAGCAGAGCAACCTCGCCAGTGAAGAAGCAGTTGCAGGGAAGCAGAGCAGATCACTTCTCGACTCCCAGCGGGATGTTTTCCCACGTCACGTACCACAGACTGTGCCTACGTGTTCCGAGTCCCCAGGTGGAAATTGCTGGACCGGGGGTCCTCACTACAGCGTATGGATGCAAGACCAGTTAAAAGAAGTGATGTTACATGTCTGTACACTCCGACTTGCACCACAGGGAAACCGTTTGTGTTCTCTTTGCTGAGCTAAAAATGGCAAGTAAGGTTTTCAATATAATCCTCAGAGCTCTTACCAAAATCACCTGGTCTGCCTTGTTCTGCTGCTGCCAGCTAAGGCAGTGTTAGATGAGGAAGGAGCACCTTCTTCATCCTCGCATTGGATGTCAGTGGCAGAGCACGGGTCTGAACCCCACGGAGCCTGAGCCCCCAGCCCTAACAGCCTAGAGCTTCTCCTCCTCTCCCCCCTCTCACTTCTCCCCACTTCCCTTTCCCAAGGCTGCACTAAGGTGAATATTAACGCAGTTAATATTATCTGGCTTCTCTGTACTTCTGCCTACACCCACCGACTTCCCTGTGGGTTTCAACCAGCAGCGCAGCTTCCTGAGCAACGTACAAGCATGCTCATCGGGATGATCCATGCTGGCTGTGGTTTCCCTCCTGAAGTTAATTACGTGGAACAGGGCCCAAATATCCCCAATACTCCTTTCCGAAGAGCTCGGAGGAGCCTACCCGTGGCGGGAGGGGCAGGGGGCGTGCGCCCTGCCCTACCTGGCTGAGGCAGTGCAGCCCTCAGCCCAGCAGAGCCATCCTCCGCCAGCCTGCCCCTGCAGTGCTGCTGCTGCTGCTCCAGTATCCTCCAGATCTGGCTCTCCAAGTACCGTTTGGCTTTATAAAGGCCTATTTAACCCAGACTGTTGGCAAACACTTCAGAGAAAAGCTTTCTTTGTCAAAGATAGACAATGTCTTTGTTCCAGTGGAGGAACAAGCAGATGTAAGTCGCTTCGGCGGAGGGTTGAGGAGGCTCCGCTCGGGTTATCTTATCCCTTTGGCTGGGAAGACAAGAAAAGAATCAAATATTACGTGTGAGTAGAAGGGAAAATATTTAATACTGTAGGCTGACAACAACAAAAGGGCACACAGGCAGCTCTCCCCCATTCCCTTTTTGCAGATAATTATACAATAAACAATTCAAAAGAGACTAGAGGAAGACTATTACGGGCTCAGACAGCTTTCCTAATGTTTACCAGCAGTTAAAAATAGACCAAAGCAGTTGTCTTGGGTACAGCTTTAGAGTTAGTGCAATTTGGCAGCGGTATCTGGTCTGGCTGAATACAGCAGCAGGCTACTGTAGCAAATGCATATAGCCTGGAAAAAGGGGTGGGATTAAACAAATACAGATAATTACAATCAGAGCTCCCATACAGGAGACGTGAGAAGATGCATCGAAGAAATTAAAGACTGCGATGCACGTGTAGGATGCGTCTCTCCATCCACTCTCCTTCCTCCGTTGTGCACTGGAAGGATGGAGCTGTCAGAGCTGCCGCAGCCCCGGATTGCCCCGAAACACGCTTGCTGGGCCGACAGCAGCAGCTGCCAGAGGAGAAACTCCCCACCGCGGAGCAAATGAAGCAGCTCTGCCAGGTGGTGCCTGACACCAGCTGATGGAAACGGCTGCCGCAGCCCCCGGCCGAGGGCAGGAGCGGGACCAGAGGGATTTGCCCAGGGGGTGAAGCACGGACCTCAGTGGGAATAGCAGAGTTGTAGAAGGGATTTATAGTCACAGAGTTATATAGGGGATATCCATGAAGAATAGAGGGGGAAAGGGGTATAAGGGATATCCATGAAGAATAGAGTGGGGGAAAGGAAGAAAAAGAGAAAGAAAAAAAAAAGCAGACAGCCCAACAAGGAATACTTCTCGCCAGAATAATTTCTGAATGCAAAAGCGATGATAAATCCAGGGGCTTTTACGCAGACTGTGGCCCCAGCTGACAGCAAGGGTCTGTGTGAAGGATGTTTTGATGGATTGCCTCTTTCCTAGCAAGCAAACGGGTGCAGCCATACAGACCATTCAGTCTTTGGCTGCTCTCGCGCCTGTCACTGTGCCCAGCAGCACTGCGGAGCTGAGAAGACACGCTCCCAACGTGCCGACAGAGGCGAGCGCGGTGCTAGCCAGCATGTGAGAGGGGAGTGCAAGCGTGCAGTCCCTCCGCACTGTCATGCTGCATGTGGGCCAGCTGCCAAAGGGGAGATCTCATTTATCACTGTGGGCTATCAAACAGCACAGCAAATCCCCCCTGCCGCTGGGCGAGGAGCCCCAGCCCCCCCCGGCGAACTGCGTACGTGTCTACTAGCAGGGACAGGCTGTGACACAGCAGCCTTTGCCCAAAGGGAGGGTGAAAAACACGGTCCTTGTGTGCCATCCCCAACTGGTGCAAGTCGAAAGTCGACTTCTTCCTCGCCTGCATCTTTCATATTCACTTTCAGAAACAGACTGAGCTTTCAGTACGTGGACAAGCGTCCAAGGAGCAGGTAAGCAGCCAGCACGGCATAAGGAAACGTAGCCAGGTTAGGGCAAAAGGAAAGGGTTTAAGAGAAGAGTCACACAGACTGTTTCCCACTTTATTTTGGATGCTGGGTGCTTATAGAATAAACACATGCTGCCAATTTTTTTTTCTCCACTCCCAAAAACATGTTTCTACCTGAAAAAATACCAACTGCATCAAACGCTTCCCGAGACCTGGCAGTACTACAGCGAAAAACCAGATTTTTTTCCGAGTATGTGAAACAATGTTTACTGAATTAAAAAAATCCAATCCACAAATATTGATTACAGGTGAGGACCATCCAGAGATCCACCGTAATAGAAATAATAAAGTAAGAGACAGTAGTAAGTATGACACAATAGTGTACCATCTGCTCTCTCAAATGCACCATCTGGTTTTTCTACTGCTGCTATTCGTGCCCTGATACTATTTTAGTGACACCAGAAGATGGATTCAAATACCAGCAAAAAGAAAAATGACATGTTATTTATTTATTGTTCTGCTTAAGTGGATGTCTTCATCGTTTTCACCGTTCTCTTGACTTCATTATTACTGTTAGCTAAATCCACGCGTATTTTCTGACACACAGTATATTAAAGCATTAGCAATGCTGACAGATGTTCCCCTCTTTTGGTCATCTCACGACTTGCTTGGGCAGGTATCAAGCCTATGTGCAAACATGTGTTTCATCCTGAATCATCTTACACATTTTATTAACTCTGAAGTGTTTTCGTGCAGCACTCGGATGCTGGGAAGATGTCCTGTGTGACCAGAGACCGACTTCTGGACCATTGGACGTGGTTCACACTCACAGCTGCGGGTGACTGGTACCGCAGACTTCCACCGGGCAGGAGTGGCCTCGCACACGGGGTTTGCAATGGTGTCCTCGCAGGCAGAGAGAAGGTCCTCCGGTACCAACACTGCCATCTCCTCTAGGACGTTGTCCATATTGACCTGCGTACATGTACAGCACCGAGCACAGCACGGTGCCAAGCCCAGGGGAGGTCTGTGAGTGGGGGGATTTGCTGATTGCAGGCGTCCAGCAGTCTCATCAAATGTCTTCAGTTATCTCTTCGCTGGCTCACAGCTCTCAGTCCATGTGTGGTCAGAAGAGATGGTCGATGCAGTCTTCCCACACAGCCGCAGTGGGCAGCTCACCAAGGGTGTTTTGACACCAAGTGGGGTTTGTTTAAGATCCTGGCACTTTTTCCCATTCCTCGCACCACTTCTGGATTACTTGGCTGATACCAGAGGGGCTTTCTGCATGGCTCAGATGTACAACTTCCATCCCCCATCACGTTTGATAACCTGAGACAACACTACTGAGCATCTTCAAAGGCTTCCCCCAACACCTCTTTCTGGGAATGGGCCCTTCTTACGTGCCTGCCATGACATCCCAGACCTGGTTGCCCGATGAAAAGTCACTGCCTCTAGGATCACATCTCTAAGTAGATCTTAAAATAATTGTCCATTTTGCTTCTGGGCTAGTGCCTTGTCTGTATTTTTTCTCCCCACGCCCCGCAGTGAGT